ATTTTCGAACTCTTTCGACGACCGAATATCAATGATAAAACATGACAGATGATCTGAAAGTGAGTGGAGATCATCGAGTGACTTCAACGACGAGAAGCTGCTTGCTAGATAATATTTGCTGAATACCTTCTAAACGTTAAGGTAGTTATATGCAGCGAGGCAAATCTAGTGTGTATGTCCAATTATCTGTTTCATATCGCTGGGTTCGTAAATTTTACCTGGAAACGGTGGCCTTATCACTTTAACCTCTGACATTTTCCACGATAGTAATAGTTACCTCAAAAGGTCTTAAGCATTATATAGTTTGTTGAGCCCATCTTCATCCAGGACGAAATGAAGTTCTATGGTGGAAGAAATATTTTTTGTGTAGCTTGTGTTCATACAGAAAAATCTTCGATGCAGCCATTTGATCAGATGAAGCAAAGAAGTTGAGTAAGTACCTAAAGTTCTTAAGAACTTTAGGTACTTACTCAACGTGAAGTTCAGATCTAATTCTGTCAGAAACTATCGGGATCCAATGGCACTGCTAATCATCAAGCAATTAAATAGCGGGTGATGGGCATGCTCAACATAATCACGTTGGCCAATGATATTTTGAAAACTAATATATTTTTCAACACTATTTTGTTTAGATATATATATAGATGGACTTTTAAACATTCTGGAATAACCAAGGCCCACTTTCATCACTACAATTATGCAAATAGCGTCTTAATTAGGCTTCAATATTGCATCCCTTAAATAGATTACGGGTAAATTCCGCTGTAGAATTTCAGTTTGCCTACCGCTATTTTTTAAATTTTTTTTCCCTCTATAGGACGCTTCGATGGTTCTGGGTTGCTCTGTTCTGTTTCGTTTTTCGAGTGTTGCCTGGAAAAAGCGCATGGGTTGCTAAATTCTGTTCAATTTCAGTGTTGGAAGGTTTGCTTACGACCTACAGTTGTACTCAAGGTAACTGTGGACGCTCAAACTTACGTTGTTTGGGCTTACTGTAACTTGTACCCGAGTCGTCATATGACCTGTGCACGTTACACGGGAGTTCCTTGAGGTTGTAGGACCGGCAAGGCCATCCAGTATTGATAATAAGCACGACAAGCCTTTGCTCTACTTCAGCAGGTTAACAAAGGGCGAATTAGGGTTTGCTAACAAATGTTCTTAATGGGCCACACGGCCAATCCTCGTCATCATCAAGGGGCAATAATTTGTTTTTGTAAGTTGGTCGACTAACACCGATCGTTACTAAAGTTACCACACGAGCGCTGCCAACTGATGATATGCTGTTCGGCATTCAACAGTTATCGCCTTAATAGTAGAAACAGCAAAAGTAACCATAAGCATAGGCGAATGTAAAAGCTGTTTGGGAATCTAGCGACTGAAGCACACGCGTGGAAGCGGATTAGGTTTTAAAACAGCTATTTACTGACAGACACTTGGCAAGTAATGCCTGAAGGCAATGGCATAAGATGGCCCAATCATCAACTTAAGTTATAATCATAATCATAACTGTCTGATTTTTTGTCCGTGCCCGAAGCTTTTCTACTCTTAATGATCGCTTTATGTTTTTCATTTCATAATTTCTTTATATATGGATTTCGTGGTACAATCCTTTTGTCACTTCCATATAATGCTTTATCTAACATCTTGCGTACGCTAAATATTGCCAACATGCATAGACTGAATCATCCACCATTGGTAACGCCAAAAGTAAACCTGATCTGCTTAAAATTCACAGCCTAGGCCTAGCAACAGCACCAGGTAAGCATATAGTGAGATTATTATAGATGTTTGCAGTAATAGTTAGGTAGAAGTTAATTTTATGCCCTCTTTTCCACTATTATTACTATTAAGTTATGAAACAATATTCTTAATTGTTGCCTTTTTCCTCACTCATGCCTCGTCTGTTGCTATCCGTCTTTGTTTTTCCTTCTCTGAAGTCGGAAAGTATTGTTGACAATTCATCTGATGCACAACGGCGGCTACGCTAGTTGCATTTGTACTATATCGACATGTTTACTCGATTGCTTATGTTAGGACTGTAGTACTATCGTAAATGGGCGTTTCAATCAGACTTTCATCAGATCAGCCTCAAAGGTGCCTTTCCCAACCTCAATGCTTCAAAACGAGAAGATAATTCCGACGTTTGACTCTCGTGGGAAAATGATGTGTGGCGATACTTGCTCCCCGATCCAAATCCAAAACAAATAGAATCGATGACGGAAATTCTCGGAATACAACAAATAGCTGCAGTCATTTATGAATTCATTTGTTGCTTCTTAAGGATGTCCAAGCAGTCTTCGAGTACCGTACATGACAGGGTTTGGATGGCGGATTTCCGCCCTCGAGCTAGGTCGTTGTGCAGGTAATATAATAACTCGATAGGACAGTCATATTTGGGTTAAGATTGTAAACCGTAAGAGCGGTAGAAAGTAACAAATAGAAGTAATGGACAGCAAAATATGGACTAGGCATAATTAGGATAGAATAGGGTCATTTTATAAACTCTGCTCATCATTCCTAACATTAATCTGTATTAAGTTCAGTGTTTAAGCTGGCAAAATGATTTTGTACCTATTCGCACACCATTTAGAGTAGCCACTGTTGAGGGTAATGTACGTTTGTCCGCAAACGTTACTGACTTTAAAGGCTCACTCGATCCAAGTTAAACAGCTTTGTTCTCTCTTCTCAAATCTTTACTCCACTCTACAGTGTTCACCCTTGTTTTTGTATGTGCGTGTGCGTGTGCGTGTGTGATTAAAAAGGGTTTATTAGAAACATAACTAGTAGCAAACCCCTTAAAACAGCGCATAGTATCAATTAAGAAATCGACCCCCCACCCAATATCCGCTTGGCGTCTCCTGTTAAGAATGTTATATTGGGCAGTAATATTTACGTCATTATGTATTGGCTATAGTGTAACAGAAAGTAATTTTTATATTTCGAGATCTTTTCGAGCGGCACGCGACGAAAGATGAACAATATAATCTTGACACGCTTCTTTTCTATCAACTGGTCGTACATATCTTTTTGTTTCTACTAACTGTCTGCGTTATATCGATAAACAGCGTACGCCCGCCTACTGACCGCACTTCTTATTCCCTTACGTGGCCGGCTCGGTGTTATCGTACGATATCTAACATAAGAACGAACTGTGTTTGTTTGGATCGGAGGGATAGTTGCGGTATTTTTGTGTTTAGTAATTAGCAGGACAAATAGCTCTGGGGACAGGAATAGAGGTATTGCTTCGGTGTTTTCTTATCTACCAACGTGACATGGGACCACTTCAAGGATGAAAGAGAATGCTGCGGAGTCCTCTGGGTTTCGGATATCGTTAAGAGGATATGTATCATTTATCCGACTATCACGACTTCCATTATATCTACGCTATGTTAATGTTCAAATGCTTTTCATCTCCGAAGCAGTAACTTGCACCATCAGCCAGGAAAGCGAGAAACCATTAGCAAAAAATGTACGACGACAGAGAATCAACAGCCGTATCAGCTGCACCTAGCCGCTGCCTTGTTCTTTTTGGAGAACGTAAAACAGACCCCAATGAAATATGCCTTGTGGGCATAAGTCAATCACGTGGTTCGTTACGTTGCTGACAGCCGACCGACCGACCGACCGACCGACCGGCCGGCCGGCCGGCCGGCCGGAACCACTCCTATCATTGGTATTGATGATTTGGGTAGACTTTAGAAATAACGTAATCGTTCTCGAGTGATAACAATTGTATTGGAACTATGGACGTAAATAGGGCTCACAGTTTTTGAATGCGATCAATGCTAACTGCTTCGATCAGCAGTGATCGCATAAGGCCTACTGCATTGTTGAGTCGTGCTATGCTCGCTGCTGTCGAACAGCAATTCATGATCTGTATATAACCATTTAGGGACACTTAAGCTTTTTCAGTTATTTTTTTTAAATAACACAAGTGTTATATTTCTTCGTTTCCTCTTCCTTCTCCGTAAACGTCGATAGTTTTCGCCAATCTGACATGTGACCCTCTACAAACGTTACCTGTTCTATTCAGAACTTCCAACACGGCTTCGTTAACTCTACCTGGAATAAACTGCAGGCCTTGTCCAACTTGTCAGCGGCATACATTCGTGCGAATGGTAAACACTGCGTAGTTATTCACGAAAGCTTACGACAAGCAAAGCTCCCTGGCCAAATCCATACGACTTCTATTTTAGCCTTTAAGAAACACTCAGCACGCTTGAACGTTAGTCAGCTCGTTGCCAAATAAATAGTTCTCTACAACCAAAACACAGTGACGGCCACGTTAAACGTTATAGATCTAATACTGGATATTTACGACAGAAATTCGATGTTAGCGCCCATTCGAGCCTCGCTCACTTCTCAATCTAACAATTGCAACAGAATCAAAAATGAGCATCTGTAGTAGAGGCATTTGGCCTATAAGCTTTTCCCTTCAATTCATGCCCGCGGTAGGTACTCACTAGGTAATCAGCTAGTAACATTATCCCCGGGGTCCCGTGTGTTTTTCTGTTACTACCATTGAGACTTCGCTCCTGGATCAACAAACAGCCAGTTTCCAGACAAAATGTGTTTGGCATCAAGATCCTAGCTCCACAACGCCACCTGCCTCTACGGTTGCTCCTTTAATTAAAAGGCTGACTGAAAATTTTAACGACAGTATTAGTAGTAACGTTGGAGACTGAGACAGGACCGACGCGCGCGATCAACCAATGCAACCGTCCCGGTCACTCCCAACAGCGTCAGCGTCAATACGTAGACCTGTCATATCGAATCAGCAAGGCACCTGCTCATTGTCGTTTCTGTATTCTGACTTCTGGGAGCAAGAGAAGCAATATATTAGAGCATGGGCACAGGTAGATATTTCTTCTGATCTAACTGTTCTGATTCTTATTCGCTTAACGTCAGTTGATCTGTACAAATTCTTAATAATACTGATATCAATAGTTAGGTGGCGATAATAGAGGTGGAGCACAAAGCTGTGTCTGTATATGCGTCTGTACCTGTCGGTAAACTTCCTCATGATGGCGTTGAATTTCTGGGAGAACACTCCACGGCTGATATCGTATGGCAAAAATGAGTGTCGGCGTCCATCGTAGCGTTTCCTGCAGACTCCGTAGCTTGAGGTTGTACTGGCTATCGCTGCTGTCTCGATGCTTCTTTTCCCGACGAGTCATGTCACCAACGAGCAATTTTGGCGATTCAAAGAACGGCGACGATGTCGGCGATGAGTCTGATGGACGTAGAATCGATCGGCATACCCATTTGCTCGTGTTAACTGGCGACGCTAGTAGACCGTCTATGATAGAGCTCGTGCTGCACGTTACACGAAAGTTTACTGCCCGAGTTAGATCGATTAGTGGAGTGTAACTGCGCTAAGAAAATCCACGGTACGACAAAGCGGGTCTTCGGACGCAATAGCTGCTGCAGCAACTCCATAGAACACGACAGTCTGGCGATGATAATCATACCGTACCTTTGATTGAAGCACTACGTCCAACCTATATCAACAGTAAAATCCACAACTCACGCCAATACCGTAGTAGACACAAATATCCTAATGTTTCAGTATGAAAATGTCCAAGAATTGAGTTGTACCCTCGTGAACCACTGCTGCACTGACATATCACAATTTGGAACAATTCTTCACAACTTCAGACGTCGACTCATCAGACACTGCGTGCCTGTGTGCGTGATGCATGTCGCGAGCTCGCACACAAATTCAACTTTAACGTAATGTTGACGCCTTCTAATCGACGAATGTAGTTGTTACGTTGTCTGTCATTTTCCTTTATTTTCCGTTCAACGACGCCAACTAACTATGCAGTCTCATTTTCGTTCTTCTTTCATTGACCCACGAAGAAAGCTTGCTGCTACCGCTTAATGCTAACAAACGCCATTCAGCGTCCATCTCTGGACACCCATTTCCAAGAAACGAATCAATAGCGATGCACAACAAATTGCTAGTTAGCAGAAGTAGTAGTTACTACGAGTAGCATCACCGTTACTATTAATAACATTTGCGGCCAGGTAGGTAATGCTGCTTCTAGTCAGCTATCCGTGTAGCTCTGTGAGTAGGATTCAGTAGCTCCCATAACCGCTGTTTTTACCTATGGTCGTCGTATCGTCTCCGTCTACCCAGCGACTACCGTTTCATAAGGGACGACGGCTCGAGCACTAGCGCACAAGCCAAGGATCAAGTACGCAGACAGCAACAAGCCTGTCACTCCAAGTAGGAACTCGCAGGCCGTCGAACATTGGGTTCAATCAGACTCGACGATACTAGATTCGGGCCAGCGTACTTTCATCAACACGCTTATGGTTCGCTTTGGCGATGGCCAACTACCGGATTAACAGTAGCGTAGTATACAAGCAAGATAGCAGCCGACAAGCTGGAGAGAACGCAGGCGGAAAGCGAGCAGTAACGGTACGGGCCAACTGAGCCACAGGCGTTAACTGGCGGCTCTCGACCTTCCTCGCTGTTCTTATTCCGAGAGCGGCTGGGCCGCTGCTGGCGACTCTTGCCAGTGCCGCAGACGCCACTAGCATTACTATAATCGTTTCCACAGCTTCCATGATCAAGACGACAAACGACGTCGTTCTTGATAGTGATGATAATGGTGATTATGATGACGCTCTGCTCCTCCCCTTCCTCCTCAAGCACTCGCAATTCGCTCACGTCAACGTCGAGCGCATGCTAACAACGTCGCGACGATCTATTTCCTGCGAGAGCGCTCTCCACCGTGGCACACGACTTCTGCTAAAGCACAGATCTGCATATATATACACACGTATATGTGTGTATATATATACACATGTTTATTTGTGTATATATATGTATGTATGTATGTATGCATATAGGATCGTAATGGCAGGGACATAGGCAGGCAACTTTACAAGACGGTAGCGGTCTCACGAAAGGAACCGATAAAAGGCATCGATCCACAACCGCTAAGGCGTTCTAGCACCAGTCAGCGGGCCAGGCACCTAGCGAGCAAGTGAATGAATGAGCGTTGTGCTTCCTGTGCCCCGTTATCGAACGTCAGCGGTTGTCCGTTAAGCTTAGTGTGTGCACTGATGTTAGTTGACTGTCGGTACAGCAACTGCCATCATAGTTTGATATCGCCACCTCTTTTATGAGATTATGCCCCATGATGGTGATGGGAGGCGGTGGGCGACCAGCAGACACTGGCAAATCGTCTAGCTATTGAATATTGTCGTTTAGTTTGCTCAAGATCGAGGACGCAAAGAACTATTTGGCTTATCTTGGTTGCAAATCTCAATACTTGTGGTCGCCAGCTTTTACCGTTGCTGTTATCGTGTGCTGTTTTTTGTGGTCGTTTGAGGCACGGTAATCTAGTTTAAAGGAGCGTGACAGATCGAAGCACGGCTATTGGCTCCCAAGAAGAAGTAACGACATGTGGTAGGACGCCTCACTTGCAGCTCCACTCGCGCGGCTTCGTTCGTATCGCTGACGCTGCCACACACACTTATAGTGGTCCTACCGAGGAACTTATCTATCAATAATAGTAATTCTTACTTTTGTAAGTTATTCAGTCATTTTAATAGCATTCAATACGTCTTTTATCTAGCTTATTACCGCATTGATACAACTGATCGATGGAGTTGTTATCGTCACATTGGGTCATGTGAACAATGACACAGCTGTCTCTGCACGTACTTCCTGGAGCCATTTTGTTAAAGCGCTGTAACTAACGGTGACCTGCTGCCTGCTCTTAGCTATTATTCATCAATTTCACAGTGACTGACGCCTGTGCTCTATGTACGATGACGAGGCCGAGGTCGAAAATGGCAGCAACGCTTAAAGGGTGCCAAGTGAGGCTTATGTGGTCTGGCAGCTGAGCAGATGTATCTAGACGTCTAGATAAACAATTGTTTTTGTTGGCCGAAACGACGTCGACGAGCCGCTCAAGTTGGCGCTACCGTCGGCGGCGTAATCATCTCTAGGACCATAGAAGTGTACCGCAGTCGTCAGGATTTACCGCAAGTGTCACCATGGCTACCAATTGATTCCATGAACATATCTTTGCATCGTACCCGTTCGGAGGGCATGATCAGTAATAGTATCGAAAACTGCTGCAACTACCGTATTGACGAAGTGCGTCCAAGTCATTATGCTAGCTGATCCGTACTATCGGATTGGCCATCACCGCTCATTTGTTGACATTAGCGCGCGTCTACACAGCGGCAGCGGACATACGATAATTCAATCTCCATTCTCACTTGTTTGCTTTCCCGTTGTCACAAATCGCATCTCATCTCGACCGTCTTGTCGATGTTTCTGCCTGCGTACTTGCTAGCGTATGGAGAGAGCCGCCGACGGAAAACCTCGGATGGCGTTGTGGCCAGTGCTGAGCGACGACGTAATCCACCCAACAGACTTTGACGAAACTCATTCTTAACCAGAGTAGAAGAACAAAATAACAGAACAACGATAGCAATGACCACATCAGGCGAAAACAACAAGGCGAAAGGTCACGCATTGTTTGGTGAATGGTCCTAGCTTGAACGCGCTGGTCCTTGGCCTAACCCTCGGGTTGGTTTATTGGTGGCGTCCCTTTAGTCATTTACCTCAAACCAGAGGCCTAATAGATAGAACTACTGTTGCTATTTGTATTGCTGCTGCTCCTGTTACAGACTAGCCGAGGCCGAACGACGCCGTCTTCGAACACTCCTGTTCAATCAGTCAGTTCAAAAGTCAGCAGCACACAGAGGGACCGTATGGAGTTCGCGCTCGCCACTAGACCACAGTTAATACTATGTGGCAGTATTATTTAATTTCGCATGTTGCATCTGCTTGTATATTATTATTACTACTATATCATTTAGAGCGACGCTGATCGTAGCGATGATATCGAGCGGTATAAGACGCCCGCTTAGATTCAATGTGATTTGTGTCAACTCGCAGTCGTTGTCAAGGTTCTGCTGTTTCCCAAATCATTTGTCTGGCAGCCTCTCCGCCGTCCATCGCTCCGCTGGCGAGCTAATCAATCAGTGAATGTACCGTGAACAGATTCTGTGGGCGTTTAGGCAGTTAGGAGCGGCCAAGTCCGCCTATCAGAAACAAAATAAGGGGACGATTTACGCCTACGAATGTTGCCCTGTCACTATTATCTGCCGATAGTTACTAATTTCGCTACGACTGGATTGAAAGGAGCGGGCGTGAACGAGGTTGAGCTCTGTTTTTCCTCCTTTCGGTGTCACTCTTCGTTTTCGTCTTTTTCTGTTTTTTGCCCTTTCTAAGTTTACGATCGATAAGCAGATAAAAGTACATTATCGTCTATTATAAATACTGTTACGATTTCTATGTTGATTGCTGTCGTTAGCGATTCAGGCTTATTTCGACGTTAATGGATTCTTCCATCCGTGTTCTCGGGAACAAACCTTCATATTTTTTTCGCCTTTTCCGGTGTCTATCACCACGACTTCGTTACTTCGTCCTGGGTCTACTTGTACGGGACAGTGTCTTTTACATGCGATAACCCGCCAGCTCTTCTCAACGTCGACGGCAGCTGGTATTGAGTGATAGTCGAAACTAACGGCCCTTACAGCGCGCATAGCAGGACCGTGCACCGCTATAACAGCATAACATGATCTACTCTAGCATATGTTAAGTAGTTAATGGATTCCGTGAGTTTGTGCGTCCCACAGTTGGGTCCGTATATTTTCTACGGATACGTAAACAGCGTCGGCCGGAAGTTGACTTGATGCGCGTACATCTATTAGACGCCGCTCAATGTCCTTCCTGTCCAAGAGCATCTGGAAAACATAGTCAGCAAGGTTGTGTCGTCGTGTTTTTGAAACGTTATTGCATAAGCCAATTTAGGTAGAACGCAGAAAATTGATTCAAACCTGGTGGGAAAATCTCCGACCGTGTTTGGTTGGAAGGTTGATTGGGAGAGAATGCTGGTACTACAAGCGTCCTTGCGCGTTTCCTGGGGGGCGCTAATGTTAGATCCATATAGTATTATATGCGTGGTACTCGTGGCCGACCCGATTGAGAGGTGCGTTTATTGTCCCACTGCTTCGGCGCTTTATATCAATTCGCGTTTCTATTTTTGTCTGCACTACATACGTTTATATATACAAGCCACTAGATAAAGGTACCTAATAGAATATCCATTAAACAGCTTGCTACATCTCTCATGCTATCTAATGCCTGTTTTTATTTCGCAAACTACTATCAATGAACGCTCTATGAGAGTATGATTAGTAAATCTTAACAGTAAATGCTACGTAACCTCACAACTACGACAAGTATTTCCAGGCTGCAATTCAGCTAAATACTTTACCATATTCTTAACTCACACCCAACACACGATGGGTACTACGATGTTTCATAAGCCTAATTGTTCTGTTCGATTTTATCTGAAGAACATCATCAAATCGAACTATGAAATTGCGACGAACTGCTAGAGAGACGACGGCATATGAAGACCGACCGCAAAAGTTCGTAGAAAGCGTCTATTCATTGTCCGGCATTTGACGTTCAGGCCCCATGAAGTACCACAGCTCCGAAAATTTGTTCCGTATCGTTATTATTTGCTAGCCTTGTTTATTTATTCATCCATAGGATGTTCCTCTTTGACTTACACCGGTGTCCCCCCGGCTGGATCATACGCGGGTCGCCAGTTGATCAGCGCTGGTCAAGGTACTCTTACTTGGACCAGTTAACTACAATGAGCCCTAGCAGTCAGATAGCGGCTTTGATGGCTGACATCATGCGCTCTCCCAGTTCGCTGTTCCTGTCAGGCGTTTACAACAATGCATGCTACAGCCAAAGCAACCGTCGCTTTTTGAACTGTTTGTGTCCGCGTCAAAAAACTAGTGCAGCTACAGGCGAGTATGCCCGTTGTGGTCCATGTGCGTTATGTTTTGAGCTTTAAACAGTGCAAACTAGTGTGACGACTTGCAGAAGAAGAAAGCACACAGTCTGAACGACACAGAAACAACGGACTTCGTTGGACCAGCAGATAAGCCGTCCCATTGAACGCTCGCTACCGTCGCTTTTCGTAAATATTGCTTACCATGCGACCCAAGGTAAGGCTAGCAGCACAAGAGTTACGCAGAATGACAGTTCCA